AAAAAAAAAAAAAAAAAAAAAAGACACTAAGGAGGGTGGTGTGACCAAAGCTTCTAGAATTAGGGGAGAATGGTAAGAGGCTAAGTAGAAAAGGTAGACAGAGAACAAACCATGTAGAAAAAATGATGGTAAAGAGCTAAATTTTGATTCTAAGTACAATAGGAAACTACCGAAAACTTTAAGCATTATCTGATTTACATGTTTTTAAGTTCACATTGGCTGCTCTGTGGAGGATTGATTGTACTGAGCAGCAACTGAGAGATGGATCTATGCTAGTACTCTGGGCTTGGGCAAGGATGGCAGCAGGGAAGTAAAATGAAAGTGGATGAATTTAAGCTATATTCCAGAATTAGAATAGGAAAAATTTATTAATGAGTTCCTGGGGATGCAGGAGGTGGAGGAAAGGGCTGAATTGAAGTTAACTCTTACCTAAGTATGATAGTGTCATTTACTGAGTAGTTAAAGTTCAGAGAGAAACTGGCTAGAGGGCAACAGGGGAAGATCTTAATCTTGCACAAGCATTGTGTTGAATGCTTGTGTTATATGTGAGTATTTATTAAATATTCACTTAACTCTAAATAATGAAACCATCATTTTTTAGATGGAGAAAATACAAGTCCTGGGAGGTTAAATAGCATCATCAAGGTCAGATATGTAGTAGATATGGGAGTAAAATCCAAGACTCTTTAATTAAAGCCCATTCTCTCAACCACTAGTGTAAATAACTTTAGCTGCGGATTTCAAATAGCACAGATTAGCATGTAAGAAGGAATTTTTCATTTTGCCTTTGTAATGGTTTTACTCTAAAGCTATTGGCTCAAACTTTGTGTATAACACATAAACATAACTTCTTGTTTGTTTCTGGTGTATTCCTTTAGCTACCTGAACACTTCATCTTTTTCCTCGCTTCACCAGTATGTGTACATATACATCTTTTTTGTAATCATTCACTCTCCAAATGGCACTTCTAAATTCACATTATTCTATTCACATGGATGCTTAAAATGTGAACAGAATGAAGAATAGAGTGTGAATAGAGTGAAGGTGATCATTAACATCATTAATGATGGTGATGGTTATAGTGATGATAAAGGTGGTAGTGATGGTGGTAGTGATGGTATTGCAGGGGTGGTGATGGTTATGATGGTGGTGGGGGTAGTAGTGGCTATTGTAATGATGGAAATAGTGGTAAAACTTGTGGTGATGGTGGTGATGGTAGTTGCAATGGTGGTGGTTGTGATGCAAGATAGTAGTGGTTGGTAGTGGTGTTGTTTTTAATGAAAAGTCACTTTTCATCAGCCTTGGTAACAAAAGAATAAGTAAATCAAAGCAAATAAAATCAACTAGCTTCCATGAATACTCTTTGCATTATTTTGGACTCTTCTCAGGAGAAGAGGCGTTTAGCCTCTTCTTATGCCATGTTTTGAACCAAGAAGCGGTCACAGCTATGATAGTATCTAATATTTATTAAGTCCTTAGAATGTCCTGTACATACAGTTGGAAACACTTGACCCATGTTGATGCATTTAATCTTCACAAAAATTCTATGGTTAGCCTTGTTTTATGGATGAAATAACTGAGGAAGACAAAGGTTAAATAGTTCATCTAATTCTACACAGTTAATAAACAGCAGAGTAGAAATGGAAACCCAGGTAGTCTGGCTCTAGCATCTGCATGCTTCATTGCTGCTCCTCATTGTGAAGTTCAACACAAAATGGCCCCAGTGCATGCTGGAGATCTCCATCCAGAGTGTGTGACCTTTGGTAAATGACAGACTACCTTTCTCTCTGACTAACTTTCAAGCTTCTCCCGCTTGAAAATCTCTGCCTATTGAAATTTAATTAATGTGCTAGAATAATTTAAGCTTGTTTAACACAAGTACTTTTAACACTACTTTTGTTAATTTTTATTTCAATAAGTAATAAGACATTCATTTTACCTGTTAACTATCATGATTTACAATTGTTAAATTAATAATAATTTTATGTAACTTACATTGAATGTTCTTCCCTTGTAAACTCACTTATTCATTTAAAACATTTATTGCAGCTTATAGTAGACCAAGAATCATAATAGACTATGGCTCATTATTGTGATTTTACATTCTGGCATATTCTACTTTTCCTAGAGCCACATGGGGTTCTGAACTTTAAATTTCACTGTAATTGAAGAGAATATTTAGTATTCATAACATTGGTATGGTTAACTATGGAGCGTTTTTGCTTCAATTGAATAACCCAATATTTTTCTTACAGAACATAAGAATGCTGCAATGTTAAAATTCTCTGCTGAATTTAAATATCTGTAAGCTGATATTCAATGTATGAAGGAATTGCTCTAGACATAATTTAGAGGAGAACAGAAGTTCTGTTTTTTCTTTAAGTAGAATATATAAAGTAGAAATATCAATTAATGCTTTCTTAAAAATCAAGATAATACAAGTTTTGGAGTTGGTGGGTAGTGATGATGACACAACAATATGATTGTACTTGGTGCCATTGAACTGCACGCTTAAAAATGTAAGTTAAAATGGTGAATTTTATGTTGTGTATATTTTGCCACAATAAAAAAGTAACTGAGAAAAAAATTAGTGTAAGATTTATTTATACATTTCACTGATTGAGTTCAAAGATCAGGAAAAGAAAAAAACTGAAGAGTTTAATACTAACTCTTCAAATATGCACTTGGTAATTATTTTTAGGACCATCTAGATTCTGTATCACTGTAAAGCCATCAACATAAATTTTAAGTGCTCCTGTATTCATTGTTTTGTAATAGTCACTGAGTTAACGCAATTATTTTACCCATATAACTATTGCTTGTGATAATAAGCATATCAAACTGAAGACAATATTAATTCTAGAAGAGTGTATATTGAAAATCATTTTAGAA